TAGATAAACTACTAAACATATTAAGAAGTTCTAATAGTTTATAATTCACAGTGTGACTAGTTTTGATAAATGAAGATGTACATAGACCAAGCTATAGCCAAAACAGCAAAATAGGGCACAAGAGTCCCCAAAAAAGATCCCACAATTGAGTAAAAGAATTGAGGCAAGAGATTTTAGTCTGTAATTTAGCATCCCTAAACAAGGGGGGAAGTACCAATCCAGTAACCACTTAAAACTAAGGAAATGGCCCTAGCCAGTTTTTCTCAGTGGATAGAGCGTCGGCCTGTGGACTGAAGGGTCCTGGGTTCGATTCCGGTCAAGGGCATGTACCTTGGTTGTGGGCACAATCCCAGTGCGGGGGGGGGTGCAGGAGGCAGCTGATCGATGTTTCTCTCTCATTGATGTTTCTAACTCTCTATTCCTCTCCCTTCCACTCTGTAAAAAATCAATAAAATATATTTTTAAAAAAAACTAAGGAAATGAAGTGTTGAATATCCTAACAGTAAAGAATAATTAAAACATATACTAAAGTCCTGTTCAGCATGAACTATCACTTTCAATAGCTTAAACCAGTGGTTGTCCAAGTGTGGTTTGAGACCCTGTCAGAGGGTTGGTCCACAGGTCAAAACTCTTTTCATAATAATAGTAAGACATTATTTCTTCATTTCCCTCTCATTCACGCATGAGTGTAAAGTAGAGATCAGCAAACTAAACTGGCCAGCAGAGCAAATCTAGCCAAGTCCACTCAATTACATATTTCCTACAGTGGCTTTTAAACTACAGCAACAGAGTTGAGTAGTTGTGACAGAGAAGTCTCTGTCTCTGGCCCGCAATGCTGGAAATACTTATTACCTGGCCCTTTACAGAACACCTTTGCTAATCCTTACTTGAGTGACTAATAGAATGTGCACTTATATATTCTTGTGTTTTCTAGAGTGGTCTAAGATATTAGATTTAAAGTATAAACAAGAACATTTTAGAGGTTAATTCCATTGTTTTTTGCCTCAGTATTTCAACTGTGATTACATCTACTATCATCTCATTAACCTGAGTAGGGCATGGTCACCAAGATTCAGAGGCCAAAACTGTTCTTAAAATTCTGATGATGGTAATACACAGAGCACTAACATGGTATGACCAAGCTGTATCACTTGGACATGATGATTTTTATCTTTGGAGTTTGCAAACCACGCAGCCATTACCTGCTCATTTAATACCAAAGAAAATTTATCAGGATTGCCCCCAGTCTCTAAACAGATGGCATATTTCTGTGCTGACAAAAACATGACTGCCTGGAAAGTGGTAAAAGCTCAGCATCAGGAGGCTGTGGGACTGGCCCTACAAAAGGGGCCCAGGTGTTTGGCCTACTGTCTCTCAGGAGCTAAGGACAATGCAGATCATGTTTTCCTAGAAGAAATTATTGTGTAGGTCTGAGATGTCCAGAGAATTTTTTCTCTTCATGCAACAACAGGAACTTGTTGCAGACAGCTAGAGGAATTACTCACTTACCAGAGAAACTGGTAGTTATCTTAAAAATATGAATGTTTCCTGGGCAAACAGGGATATATAATTCATATGCATGCACTATGTAACATTTGCTTTGGGAAAAGAAAACAAAAGTAAGCAAATAAAAAACACTCTTTTGAACATAAGTGTGAAACAAGATAATCCATTTGTAATCACAACACAAAGCAAAGAACCTTTCTAGAAGTCTAAGGAAATGTTCTTAAGGTTATGGTTTGTTTCAATAACAAATTTCAAAACCTTGAATGGCGCAAAAAGTACTAACATCTTAACTGTAACCAGATTTTATATTATCCAGACAAGAGAATCTGGTTAAAATATCCTAAAAAAATCATGATTTTTAAAAGAGCAAATTGCAATTTTCCTAAATATCAAGAGGGCAAGAAATGAGAAACAGCCATGTGGTTTCACAAACTCTCTATTTAGAGGCTAGCAAGAAGGAGAAATTTGTACCAGATACTGAGGGAAGGATTAAAGCTGTTCCCTCAGTCAGGGCTAGTAAGGAAGCAATATAAATAACAGTAGGATAGGAAGACCATAAAAAGAGTAAAGAAAAAACATGCATGCAGTGGACTTGTAAAGCATTCAATGATATTTATTTGTAAGAGAGAAGGAGTGGATTTACAATAGAGGACAAATCAAGAGCACATTAACACAAACAAAGGGCAAAGTGAATTATTAGTATCTACCCCAGGCACCAACTTGCCATCACTTCCATCCATCAATATCTCCTTGCCCTTATATTGGTACCAATCACTAATGAGAAATTAAGGCATCTTATTCCTTCACCTCATAGCCCAGGAGAAAAAGGGCTACTAAGGTCTGCCAAGTCCAATTATCAGAACTCCATTTCTACAAAGTAGTTTGGGGCCAAATAGTTAAGTTTTAAAGTGCTCCTTTGCCTGACTTCAGACTATAAGTATCTCTCTCCCTTGGTGATCTTAATGATGAAGGATTTGGCTAGTTAGGGTCCTAGTTATTTCCCTCTCTTCTCATAGAAAAGACATAACTCACAGTACTGACGCCATTACGATAATATACATGCACTCTCAAGTGGGTCACAGTATCCAACTGTTTTTAAAGGAAGAAAAAAAGAAACAACAGAAGGAAATTGGCTGGGCCCTGAACAGTGAAACCGCTAGTTATCTAAGTAAGCCATAAAACAAAAGAACCTGGGTGCCCTCAGGTCACCACACCTGATAGGGCAGTGAGAAAGTAGCAGCCTCTTCATTCAAAAAGAATTTCAAAATTAGAAAGTTAAGAGATACATGCTTTCAGAAAATGTTCGATGTCCCAGGTCACTACCTAGTCAGCAGTGGAGAACCAGCCTGATTCTTAAGCAGACACCTCCTGAAATCACCCTCAGCTTTATTCCAGAACTCAATGAGCTGTGCTCACCAGTCCCTACCACAGGGTGTCTGCTGAATATCCTCCTTTAGTAATCTTCTGGCATTTCTTCTAGCCTTTAATGGGGAATGTGCCAGAAACTTCTTCCTGATAAAAAAAAACAACTAATAATCTAGGCAGCTTAGCCAAGTCAATCTTTTCCATTTCATAATATACATAAAACTCAATTTGGCTGGAAAATATCCACCCTGCATTTAAAATCTCTTAGAAATCTATACATTGAAATATTCCAATTTTCATTACTATTTTCCCTTACACTTCCCAGTGTGTGGTCCCGGTAGAGCCCTTGGTCACAGCTCCTTGCCATGTGTTTGCAATGGCTGTTCTTCTGCATTCAGAAGACCCATGGCTTAAGTTTTTGATCAGAGACAATAAGACTGGCTTTTTTAAAAGGTTTAAAATCAAAAGACACTTTGTAAATGTGATTTAAAAAGGAGTCACATACTAAACTTGACAAGCATAAAGGCCTTACAACCTGAGAGCCTAAAGTAACCACACAAGGTGGTCTGAGCGTAACACTTCCTAACTAAAAGTGGGTCATGATGGGTAGTGATGTCCTAGGCTGAAGCCTCCTTGACAAAGATCAATCTTTAACTTTAAAATTGTCTATTGACTTTGTACATCTATATAATAAAGAGCTAATATGCAAATGGTCATGACACCCTCACACGTTAAAGACCGATCAGCAGGAGGCTGCGTGCACAGCAGGAGTGGGTGGGCAGGGACTTACAGCGTCAGGGACTTGTGTGAGGCTTACGTCCCTACCCCCGGTGCTGGGCCCAGGGATATGAGGCTCGCGTCCCCGCCCCAGTGCCAGACCCAGGGACATGAGGCTCATGGAGGCCTCACTCTTTGGGGCGATGGATCGCGGGGCTCCCGCACTATGACAGGGGACAGGACAGGCTGGGGGATCCCCACCTCACCGAGTGCACAAATTTCGTGCACCGGGCCACTAGTCTAAAATAAAATACCTTTTAAATGTCAGAGTAATCTTCTTTTCCAGACCCAGAATCCCTCATTGTTACCTTGTTCCTCCACATACATCTCTCTGTGCTATAAATGTCAACTATCCTGTACACACCAAAGTAAAAGAAGTATATGAATCTTCACTTGCTTTTTATCCAATCTCAGAGGTTTCCCAGCTTTGCTTTCTTCCTCCCCCTTAATCTACCACCAATGAATTTCATGTAACCCTCCTAATGTCTCCTCCTTTGATTCTCATGTATGAAATAAGCTGCAAAACTGCCATTCTCCAGAGCATACACTTTTTTTATTATTATTGATTTCAGAGAAGAAAGGAAAGGGAGAGAGAGAGAGAGAGATAGAAACATCAATGATGAGAGAATCATCCATCGGCTGCCTCCTGCACGCCCCCCCCACTTGGGACCGGGTCGCATCCCAGGCATGTGCCCTTGACTGGAATCGAACCTGGGACCTTCCAGTCCACAGGCTGACACTCTATCCACTGAGCCAAAGTTGCTAGGGCTGGAGCATTTTCTCAATTGTTTCCCAGAGATTATCATCCATTTGGCTTAAAAAAGACTTTTTTTTAGGCTGGATGTTCTTTCGTCTACATAAAAATAACCTACCTATAAAATTTAAAGTGATCCATTCCCACCACCAATTACAAAAATAATTATAATAAATTATTTTCAAATATATAAATAATTTTCAAATGTACTGAGTTAAAGAAAAATACAGGATAAAATGAAGTGCTTTAGTAAGGATTTTAAAGATCAGTTTAATTTTGTTTATATCAACCATAAGTTGAGGCTGACCTCATCACAGGAAATTTCAGGTTAGCTATCAACACAACTCAAAACCTATTAGGAAATGACAACAGCCATCCATCACTGACCACACAAACCACCAGTGGCATTGCTGTCCCTCCTCATAACCAGCAGCTGTAAGTTTATCAAAGATCCTCCTTTCCTAAAAGCTGATACAGGTCAGAAATTGGGAAGATACCAAATGTGTTGTGTGATTAATTCTGGAGCACAGAGAGAATTCTAATACTTAACATGATTAATTTACTAAAATAAAATGTCAGCTAGCAGTCCAGTACTCACCTTTTTCATGAACACAAACTGAGAGTTTCTTAACACCATCAACCAGAACATGTTGTGTGTTGCCATGTCCATCTTCTGAGTCGCTGTCTTCAAACTGAGCCTCTATAATGACATCAGGACTGTCATTATGGCCTTTCAGGGACTGTTGCAGGAGATGGCTTCCACAGATTTCCTCAGGGAGATCTGATTCATAGGCACCTTCTGTTTCTTTGTCACTGCTCTCTGGTTTAATTACCTGAAGAAAATAGAAAAGTTCTGCTAAATGAAAGAAAGAAAAGGAAAGAGCAGATTTTTCTTTTTTCTTTCCTAAGGAAAAACTGCATATTCAGAGATTCCAACATTGGACACTCACCATGTAGTTTGAAAAAGGTTCTTTATTTTCTGAACCTTATTGGAAATGATCAATCCAGCAGTGCCAGGTTGGCACTTCAGCTCTGCAAGATGCCCAAGGTGAACGCCACATTCACTTCTCATTTTTCTAATGTACATTTTCATCCCCTCTATCCTAAAGACCCCAAATACGAGAAGTACTATGCTGCTTCATAAGGATTCATCACATGGATCAAAAAGTAGGTTGGATAATGATAAAAGAACTCAAAATAGCATATCGCTGAACTCCCAGTGAAGCCACAAGAATATAACATGAAAAAAAAACAAAGTGTGAACAAGAGCTTACAAAATGTACTCATATAAAACATAAACCCTTAATTCACCATTTTGAGGCCTGAAATCAATATAGAAAGAACACAACTGATGGTCATTTCCATTAGCAATAAAAATGAAGCATTACACAATGTCAAATATTTTCAATAAAATAGCAGGAATTACTGAATAAATCAAGTCACTTGAAACTGTGTAATTAAAATTAGTATGCTGCATTTTAAAGGTATTTTCATTCTATTCTGTTATCTCAGGACACACAAGAATAGAACAGTCTAGTGGTTGAGCGTCGACCTATGAAACAGGAGGTCACAGTTCAATTACTGGTGAAGGCATATGCCCAGATTGAAGGCTTGATCCCTAGTGTGGGGTGTGCAGGAGGCAACCGATCAATGATTCTCTCTCATCATTGATGTCTCTCTCTCTCTCTCTCTCTCTCTCTCTCTCTCTTTCTCTCTCTCTATCTTTCTCTCCCCCTTCCTCTCTGAAATCAATAAAAATATCTATTTTTTAAAAAGAATAGAACAAATGTTGGGGGGCAGAAATCATCATATGATCACGGGATACAAAAGGTATTCTAAAATTATTCCATATTGGTTGAGTAAGGATTGTGGGATTCCTTCAGCGGTTCTCAACCTGTGGGTCGCGAACAATGAAAATACATCCTGCATATCAGATATTTACATTACGATTCATAACAGTAGCAAAATTACAGTTATGAAGTAGCAACGAAAATAATTTTATGGTTGGGGGTCACCACAACATGAGGAACTGTATTAAAGGGTCGCAGCATTAGGAAGGTTGAGAACCACTGCGGAGAAATGGCTAATTCAAGTCTGGAATAGAAAATAAACAAGATTATCCTGGACCATCTTGTCATAATAGGAAAATAAGGAAGTTATCAAAGGCTCTCTGTGGTCATTCTTAGAAAATTCTAAGCATTTATCCTACATTTCCTGTGTCTCATGTTAACCAAATAGTTGATGAGGTAAAGTGGTTATTCACAGAGAGTTTGAACTAATTATCTGTAATACCTTCAACAATAAAGATAAAATTTTAAAAAAGAAAGACATTCAGCCCTAGCCGGTTTGGCTCAGTGTATAGAGTGTCAGTCTGAAGACTCAAGGGTCCCAAGATCAATTCCGGTCAAGGGCACATGCCCAAGTTGCAGGCTCAATCCCCAGTAGGGAGCGTGCAGGAGGCAGCCAATCAATGATTCCCTCTCATCATTGATGTTTCTATCTCTCTCTTCCTCTCCCTTCCTCTCTGAAATCAATAAAAATATTTTTTTTAAAGACATCCAATACCACCAATATGGAATAATCCAATGCTCAACCAATATGGAATAATCCAATACCTATTGAAATAATGGATTCAGGATATGATCATCAATGGTTATTGAAACTAATAAGTCATAACCTGATGGGGATGGAGTTTTATAACAGACTAGAAGCCTGGTGCACAAAATTCATGCACGGGGGGGGGGGGTACCCCAGCCTGGGCTGCACCCTCTCGCAGTCCAGGAGCTCTCAGGGGATGTCCCACTGAAGGCTTAGCCCCGCTCCCTGCGGACCTAAGCCAACAGTCGGACATCCTTAGCGCTGCCATGGAGGCAGGAGAGGCTCCTGCCACTGCCGCTGCACTCGCCAGCCGTGAGCCTAGCTCAGGGCTTCTGGATGAGCGGCACTCCCCTGTGGGAGCGCACTCACCACCAGGGGGCAACTCCTGCGTTAAGCACCTGCCCCCTGGTGGTCAGTGTGCGTCATAGCAGCAAGTCATTCTGCCATTCGGTCTATTTGCATATTAGCCTTTTATTACATAGGATGGACCAGAGTGGCAATACCTGAACGCACTAATCAATATAAATATTTTAAAAAGAAAAATAACCAAAGTGCTTCCTCATGCACGATAATAGGAAGTACATACAACTAACTGTGAAGTACTTTTTCCCCATAAGTTGAACTTGAATCTGATTTGATAAAGGGAACAAGTAACACATTAAACAACACCAGGGCGAAGATCCTTTTATACTTAACCCCTAGGTCCGTGGTCGGCAAACTGCGGCTCGTGAGCCACTTGTGGCTCTTTGGCCCCTTGAGTGTGGCTCTTCCTAAGCCTTTGGAGTACCCTAATTAAGTTAATAACAATGTACCTACATATATAGTTTAAGTTTAAAAAATTTGGCTCTCAAAAGAAATTTCAATCGTTGTACTGTTGATATTTGGCTCTGCTGACTAATGAGTTTGCCGACCACTGCCCTAGGTGATTTCATCCAGTTTTATGGCTTTACATCTCTATATGTCATTAATTCCCTAAATTAAATGCCTATCCTCAACCTTTTCCTTCAATTCCAGACTTATATTCAATTCCCTACTAAATCTTCATTTGGATGCCAGTTGGAACCTCAAACAAGAGAACCCACTCCTCTCCCAGCATTCCATCTCTCCGCCAATGGCACCAAACTGTGTCATTACCCTTTGCTCTCTCTCTCTCATGCCCCACATCCAATCCATCAGAAAAGCCCATTGGTCCTTCCTTTATAATGTATCTTCTTGACCTTTCCACTGTTACTACACAAATCCAGGCAACCTTTAGCTCCTTACTGAACTACTGCAATAACTAGCCTCCTGGTTTCCATTTTGGGCTAAAGCAGCTAGAGAAGTGGTTCTCAACCTGTGGGTCGCGACCCCTTTGGTGGTCGAACGACCCTTTCACAGGGGTCGCCTAAGACCATCCTGCATATCAGATATTTACATTACGATTCATAACAGTAGCAACATTACAGTTATGAAGTAGCAATGAAAATAATTTTATGGTTGGGTCACAACATGAGGAACTGTATTTAAAGGGCCAGAAGGTTGAGAACCACTGAGCTAGAGTGATCCTTTTAAAAAATAAATCAGATCATGCTCTTCTCTCAACAGCTTCCCAACATCCTTCTATCACCATACTACAAGGCCTTGTCAAATCTGGCCCATATCTATTTTTCATTTTCATTTTCTACTTCTTCCTTTGCAAAATATATTCCAATCCTAGAAATCTTTTTGATAATCCTAGAATACTGAAACTTCCATCTTGAGGTTTTCACATTTGCTACTCCCTCTTTCTGGAAAACTCTTTGCCCAGTTATTCTAGGGCTCACTCTCTTCATTTTGTTCAGGTCTTTGTTCAAGTATCCTCCTCTCAGAAAGGCCTTCCCTGATCACATTAATTGAAACAGCACCATCTTGCTGTCATTATTCTACCCTCTCACCCTGCTCTATTTTCCATCACTGTACTTATCACTACTTGCGAATACATTACATACTTATTTACTTTCTGTCTCCCAAATAGAATTTAGGTTTTATGAGTACAGAGGCTATCTATTTTACTCACTGACTGCTGAATTTCAAGAGTTGATAACAGCATTTAGTAACCACTCAAATATATACTGATTGATTGAATGAATGAATGTACTAATTAATTAGGAAATGACTTATTCAGAGTCCATCTTCCCTGATAAACTGTAAACTCCATGAAGTAACCATGGTTAGGCCTGACACAGTGTGTACTCAAGTCTCATTGAATAAATAAAGAACCAGAGATGGCACACTGCATCTAACATTTCCACATATCGATCTATCCATCTCATAAGACCTATCCAATGCCTTGCATTTTCTATAACCCAGAATCCACCACATACTCTTCCCAGTTCCTCCCCATCACATTACCCTCACTGTCCAAGGTAAATAAATTCTCCCTTTTTTAAAGTCTCAAAGTATTTATATCTCTTCTCTGGCACTTCTCAATTTCTTCACTATATTAGTATTATCTATGTATATGATTTCCCTCATCTGTTATGACTATATGCTCACCAATTATATCTTATACATCGTTGTGTATTTTCTACAGCAACTTGCATAATCAATCTAGGTACTCAATATCTGATGAATAAACAGATGAATAAATGGGTAGAACAATGAAGAAAGAAATATAAAAGATCATCAGGATGCAAGAGAGCTTTCAGAACAGTTTCCAGATATAAGAGTATGTGGGTTAGAAACTAGGAGCCAAAATTTCCTGGGATATGTAAGGAAGCCTTCTCCTGTGGGACTAACCTCAAAAAAGTTGAAAAGTCTAGTTCAGTGGTCCCCTACTTTGTAGTTTAGCAGATCCCTAAATCTGAGAATCAGATGAAAGCTATAAGCTTTCCTCCACAGCAAAATGCATATCTACAAATAGAGAGAAAATACTCTGTAAGAATGTACAAGTAAGGAGAGTAAAGGGTCTGGGTGCTGAAAGCTACCAGTTCAAATTGATCAATATTTTAGAGAGCTCTGGGCTCAGAGTAAGAGGAGTGGGGCCTGTGGAGAATGGATACATTACTGACCTGGTTAACTGAGGACTAAAATTCCTCTGGTTTCCTCCACAACCCTAATACAGTGTGGCAGCTGACTGCACTTATTATTCCAAGTGCATGCTACAGCTGGGATTATAGTTCTCCCTTAGAGAGTTAGTCTAGTCTCTGGAGGACAGGACAGAAATGGGTTGGTGAAGGAATCAAATTGCTGGGTCATATAAAACATTTTCACTCAC